CCGTGGCGAACCCACTGCCACTTCATTACTTTCTTCTTTCCAGTCCTGTTTTTTTTATGTATAACAATTAAGGATCCGGCCAGCAGTCCAGGCGAATATTTGATTTTGTAATAGATTATGTTGTGGGCTGTTTTATCTTGCAATGCTTCCTTTTTATTTATTAATTTTTGAGTGTTTGATTTTATTTATTGTTATTTGTTTTGCTATAAAGTCTGCACGCAAATGTGCGCCATGTATGCTGAGGGGTTGTGTTTTTGTTCCTGGGTTTGGGGGATGCGTGGAGGTGTGCGCTCTGTGGGGGTTGGCTGTTGGCACTGAGCGGCATTGTGATTGTGATGACGGCTCTCTTCCGGGATGCTGTATGTGGGCTTGATTGTTTTTTTATTTAATTAATTCTGGAGTTGCAGGCAACTGCATTCCAAAGTGTAATTAAGAAACTCCATACATGCGGGTGTTCTGAGGCGGCGATGGCTTTTACCGTCGACTGTTGTGCTGCACCTGTGTGGTGGTGGCGTTGTTTTCTTTTTGAAAATTATGATAATTGTTAGGCTTTCGTTGAAGTCTCATTGTGCGCGTGTGTTTGTTCCACGCTTGTTTTTTTTTGCTGTGACTGTTGTTTAGGGAGAGCGGAAGGAGGTGTGACTACTGAATTAGCGGTAGGAAGAAAGAATTCACGGACCGCAACTTCGCCATGCGGCTGGGAGCTGTGTTATCAGTGTTGTTTCTTTTGGTTCTGGTTGCGTTCTACGGCGTTGGTGTGTTGGCGCAGCGGATGTCTGTGGTGCCTATCCAGTCCAATTTTGCGGTGGTGATTTCGGGTGTGCAGTGGCCTCGCGTTTTCTTCCGCTTCTGCGAGAATCGCAGCAGTCATCCTTCTTCCACATCCGTTCCTACTGAATGTACTGTTGTCGGCGACGAGTTGACGCGGTTGCTCGTTAAGGCGCTGAGACCCTCGGTGCACACCGCCATTCACCCCTCGCCGACCGGCGTCACTGCTGTTTTTCTTACGCTCCAGCCACATTTGTTGCAGCAATCTCTTCAGGCAGAATTTGCGGTGGTGCGCATGTTGGGCGCTGGTTCGCTTGCTCCAGATGACCTCCAGCTTGTTGAGCAAGTAAGACGAGCCGATATTGCAGGGCTGCGCCTAATTTACGATTCCAATGGCGGGAGCATAACGGACAATGTCGCCGTGCAAACTGTGCGACGGGTTGAAGAGCGGGCCAGTCCGTGTGGAGACTCTTGCGAGTGGGCTGTCAGTATCGTTGCGCCACTATTTGCAACGGCGCTGTTGCTCATCCCTGTGTTCATGTCTGTTGTAAATCTCGAGCGTGCTGTTGCGGTGCGGGATTACTTTCTTGTGGCAAGCCATGACATTGACGACGAACCGCAGCACGTAAATGAGTTTGCCAACTGCGAGGATTGGGGTCCGGTGGAGTTTGTGGACCCCGACATGCTGCCGAGGGAAAATGTAGCGGGACATAAGCCTCACATGGATGGAGTTGTTGTTTTGCAGCACTTTCTGGAGGAGGATGCCGTGGCGGTAGGGAAGACTCGGAGGCGGAAGTAGAAGGACGAGGGCGTGCAACTCTCTGTTTGTAGAACTCGGTGTGAGTAGGAGACGGAGCGCAAGGTGCCTTTTAAAGAGGGTTGGCGCAGGTTGGGGGGAATTCTCTCGCGCCCATTGAAATGTGAATGGTTGTTTTACATAAGCCCAAAAATTTTGTATGTATATTTTTTATATGTTTTTTTTTTTTAATTTGTCGTCACCGCCGCCCTTTTTGCAGGCATTTTTTTTTTTTTTACGAGTTCATTGTTTTTGACCCTTCATGTTTATTTTTGGGTTTCTTTTCTATTACCGCCGTCAGAAAACGCTGGTCGTGCTTCTGTTGGTATTTCTTTAGAAATGAGTGGTGCGACCCTCTCCTGCGCTTCATCGCACTTTTTTGCTGCACTTCTCTGTTTTTTTTCTTTGGTTTTCTTGCGTCCAGCACTGCTTTTAAGCAACGCGACGCTTTGGTGAAGGCGCATGCGAAGTACATCTCCTATTTAGAAGCTGCATGTGGCGTGCTGCTGTGGCTGGCGGTGTTGAGTTTGTGCCTGGGCAGGTGATCACGACGGGGACGAACCCGCTGGCGAAGGACACACAGTACGAGGCCATCCAGCGCTTCCAGGAGGTGATGCGGGCATATCTGACGCACAGTGGGCAAAAGGACTATGCCGACAAGGACCATTTTCTGAAGGATGACGGCGACGGTGAGATGATGGTTGCTGGGTGGATTGCTGGCGAGGTGCTCTCACAGGCGCTGGGCAGTCGTGAATGGGTGAAGGACCGCAAGTCGTTCTTGGCGTCTCTGTACAACCAACGCCGGTATGTGGTTGACGACATTGTGATTGGCGACTACGGTGGGGATTGTGTTACTGTTGGGTGTATTGAGCAATTTGTGTATCTATTTCTTAGGGCCTTTTTTTTCTTTGTTTTTATTGATTTTTTTGTGTTATTTTTTATAAAGTTTCTTTCTTTTTTTCTTCTTTTTTTGTATGTGTTGCTTAGTTATTTTGTGTAGGGAAGGTTAGTGTGGAGGCACGGTCTGTCTCTGGCGTTGGTATTAGCTTATATGCATGGATTGGAACGATTTTACCTTTTAAACTTCAATTTATTGCCTATTATTAGTATTATTATTGTATTGTATGGACGAAAACGTGTCGCTTTTCTGCGGGGGGCTTTTTCACATGCCACGGGGGACGTCGTTTTGTGGTTTTTTTCTGCAGCAGTTTCTTGTGTTTGTTGGGTTGTTGTTTTTTCCATGTCATGCGGTGCAGTCCGATTATGCAAAGTACGTTGAGGCCGCTGATGGGGATGCGTTGGGGTCGTCCGCGTTTGGTCTAAAGAACTCGCTGGCGAGTATTGTTGACTGTTTTCCTGGGGTGATACTTTTGCCCAGCAACACAACGTACTACTGCGAGATCAACGGCATTGCGTCCTTTAAAGAGTCGGTGCTGTTGTACGCCTCGTACTACACCCGGGACGGTAGACTGTTTGGTGGTTGGCCGGCGACTGTGGAGGGGGCAGGAAAGTTCATTTCGTTTATTCCTGGGACTGCAGCGCCCTCCGGTTGGATAGCGCTTGTCATCACGGAGTACAATGCGTTGTTGAATCCACCTTTTCTGCCCGTAACGACAAACAAGACGATGGAGCTTTGGGACAGTGAAAATACCTACACGTCCTTCTTTGCACCCTTTCCCTATTATGGGTTACATGCATCTTGGGAGATGAACATACCGAAGAAGTATGTTGTTGCTGGTAGTTTACTTGTCCGCGCTGGGGTAGAGTGTCAGTCCATCGCGAAGAACTGTGGTGCAGAAGTTGGATGTCACAACGTCACCGAGTCCCATCTTCTTCCTTTGCCTGGCAACTACTCACTCTGCGTGACGGCGGATGGCTGGCGAGGCCATTATCTACCGTGGGGCCAATCCTATCTTGAGGTGAAGGCAGTGGTGGCGAACCCGTTGTATATAATGAATGGAACATTGACAGCCATCACACTGAAGGATGCGAGAATAGGCAGTAATTTGCCCTGGGTACATCAAGTGTTTCTGGCGCCATGCTTGGGTGACTCCTGCTCCACGAAGGAATTGTTTTCATATGAAAAAGTGGTTGACATCGATGCGTGTAGAAAGAGCCGCCGTTCCGATCGTATACATTACTTGGAAGGCTGCCCAGTTTCTTTAAAGCCTGGGAAGTACGCTGTGTGCGCTGAACTTTTTTCGTGTGATGCCAATTCTGTGGATGTGGACTCATGTGACGTGACTTCTTCCGCGCTGTCTGTGACAGTTTTTCCGAGCCCTTTTACACTCACATTCATACATGTGTCCATTGACACGTTGGTGATTGGGCTGGCTGGCGGCGACCTTGGCTTCCGGAGTGTGCCATACGATGTGTGTCTGCTGCCCAGCGCTGCAGCATGTGATTTGGAGCTTGGTGCTGCGTATTTATGTGTAACAAGCTCCACGCCAAACTCACTTTTGCTGGACATCAACCGAAGCCGTGCTCACTTACCTGATGCTCTCACCTTGTGTCTTGTGGCAGTGAACGCGACATTTTTGGGTCATCGCTACATGTGGATTCAAACGCTGGCGAGCGTCACGCTGACGAATCAAATGAGTGCTTCTGATGGGCGATGCTGTTCAACTGCCGGTGTCGCTGGGATTGCCGTGGGCGTTGTTATCTTCACTTTTCTTTTATTAGTCACAGTGGTTGTTTGCTACCTACACTGTCGCAGGGCACGCGTTCTGGCCACCCGTGGTGGGTGCGAAGAGGCGCCCTCGCTGCATCCGGCTGCCGTGGCTGGAAGGCTCTCGAACCCCCTTGCGGTGCCGCATTGCAATCGAACGGAGAGCACTTCCATTCATTCAGTCCATGGCGGGGAACTTTCCGACGTCGGGGTGCCACCCACATTTATGTCTCTTCTGCCCATAGATGATGGTGAGAGCCGGCATTCGTCCCTCAGAAGTGGCCACGTATTAGAAGGGGGAACCTCGGCGGCTAGCAGCCCCCACCGTGCCGTGTTGCCAGTGAGTAGGAGGATGTCCCCTGTGTTGCGTGAGGGGAATGTGATCCCATACGAAATCCAGTCAGAAACTTTTGCCTTTGAAACAGTGGACGAGATGCGTGCATTTACAGCCAGCAGTAACTTTTCGCAATTGTCTGGCGCAACGCAATTTAGGGTACACATGAGTCCTACCAGGAACGTCTTTCAGCTGTCGGATCGCACCACTTCCTTCGGTACCGTGCGGGAGTGGGGTGCTTCCCCGCATACTTCTGTAATTGGGTCGTCTGCGAACGACAGCAATGCATCATTACAGCCATGTGAATTGTTAATTTGTTCATCATCTTCTTTAAATGCTTCACGCCTCGCCCTCGAGGCTCAGGCGGAACCCGGTGATTCTTCGCTTTGGGCGTGCGCTGATGCCAATGCGCAAGGACACACGGTTGGAGCACGACCCGCTTCCCCACCCCCCGCCTTTGTAAACGACACGCTCAGTCCCTTTTTGCATCATAGAGAGTGTCCGTGTCTGCTGATGGCAGCGCGAGGTTACCAAAATTCGGCAAACGAAGGAACTGCTTTGACGTGCAGCGATGAGCATCAAACTTATGAAGGGCGTGAGCTACCGGAGGCGCATGCACCGGCTGCCGGAAACGCTGCCAGTGAGGATTCCAGTCGACATCTGTCACCAGTATTACTGAGAGAAAAAGGAGAGGAGTCTCTGTCGCTGCAGGGGGTTGACGCAGCCACCGCTAATGAAATAGGAGACGACACGTGTTTGATGCTTGCCAGCGTTGCTCCTAAATACGATTCGGACGATGTTTCACGGACAGCTTCTTCATTCTCCACCGAGACTGTTTCTCTCTCCGCATGTGAACCGCTACCACGTATTATTTGCATCGATAGTATTGAATATTGTCCATACATGACTTTTTGCGAATTCTGTGAGTATTCCTCATCAACGGAGAGCACTACTTCCATTGGAGAAAGCGAATGTGACACTGCCGACAGCCAAAGCTCCTTGATTTGAGGGCTCCGGAGTGGTGGACACATGTGGATGCCGGTTGAATTTACCCTTTACCAATAACAACAGAAAAAGCACATATGTTTTGTGCTTAAGACCGACACTTTGGGCCACCGTTGCGCTTCATTTGGTGTTGTTTTTGTTGTGTGAGCGGACGGCGGTCTGCTGTTGAAAGGCGGTGGAGGAATTTTCACGAATGCTGCTCACACAGGGAGATGATGACTTGTTTTCTGACATCTTCACGCGTGTTTGTTTACATTATTTGTTGTTGTCTTTTGTATTATTTTTGTTTTTGGTTTGAGTTTGACCATTAACATTTATCTATTATTTATTATTATTATTTTTTTTTTTTTTTTTTGGGGGGGGGGGGGG